CAATATATAGCGAACCGAAAAATTAAGAGTCGAACCAGCGAAACTTCGGAGACAATCGCGGAATATATTACATCAACTCTTAAAAAGATAACAATTTATCGAAATGTGCTGCTTTTGCAGGGGACAACGCCAATGTCAATTTTGGGAGACTTTCAAGAAAAGCAGAAAATAATGTTTTTCACAAAAATTTAAACAAAATTTAAATAGATGCATATTGGGAGTCGGATGTTCTGCACATATCTTGCATAATTGTTTCCAATATGGAGCTGATTCACTTCAAGTCGATATTGAATGCATTATCTTTAAAATTTTTAGTCATTTTTCAATATATTATATTACATATTGTATATTATAATATATAGCGAACATATTATTATATATATATATATATATATATATATATATATATATATATATATATATATATATATATATATATATATATATATATATATATATATATATATATATATATATATATATATATATATATATATATATATATATATATATATATATATATATATATATATATATATATATATATATATATATATAATATATATATATATATTACAATATATAGCGAACCGAATTAAGAGTTTTTATGACTTTGTTGATATCATGCCAGCAATTGCTTTATCAGCAAAACACGATGGCTTTCTGTGTTTCCTGCAATATGCAAATGCTTCTTTTTCAATATATTATATTACATATTGTATATTATAATATATAGCGAACATATTATTATTATATATATATATATATATATATATATATATATATATATATATATATATATATATATATATATATATATATATATATATATATATATATATATATATATATATATATATATATATATATATTACAATATATAACCGAACCGAAAATTAAGAGTTTTGCGACTTTGTTGATATCATGCCAGCAATTGCTTTATCACAGCAAAACACGATGGCTTTCTGTGTTTCCTGCACTTGAAAGGCTTCTCAAACTGTTCCCAGCCCTTAAAGCTTACTTTTTGTCCTTGGATAACTGTCCCACCGACTGAAATATCTGAATTATATCTATGGTTTTTACATTCAACAATGCACATATTTCACACTAGTTTGGTTTCAATAGAGAGGGAAAATAATTTAATAATGGAAATAAGTACAATTTTATCAAGCGTTTTAAAGTCCCTAAAAGAAAGGTATAATGAACGATTCCTGCCTCTAAAAATAAATGTCCACTACATGTCCTTTAAAACTTTAATAGAAAATGGATACCAACAAGAAGTAGAAAATTTTAAGTCGCAAGTCGAAGAGTTTTATCAAAAATGTATTTCGTACTTGGAGAAATGGACTGAACTTTAACTGACTTTAAACCCTTTGAATGGATGCATTTCAATGATTTTAACTTTAAGTTTAATGATGTAGTACCTTCTTTAGAATATCTTAATAACATTGGGATTTCTATTGACGACAATAAATTGATAGACGAAATTATAAATTTGAAAGAGTTTTTAAAATTATTTCAGACTGATAAAGACTTCATAAATTTATCGTTGGATCAAAAATGGCATCGTTTTTATAAAAGCTGTAAACATTTAGAAATTGTTTCACAACTTTTAATTATTTGTCAATTTTACTTTGCCATTCTTGCAAATAACTCAACTGTGGAGCGATTTTTTTTTCTTTTTCCGCTCAGTGGACAAAAGAAGGAAATCGCCTTTCAATTGAATCAGTGAAAGGAATAATAATGCTCAAGTACAATTTTAAAAATTATATCTGTTCCAATTTTTATGCTTATTTGTTAGAGAACCTGGGTTTTCTTAAAAAAATTGGTCCTTCGGACAAATATTTTCTTAAACCCAGGCGATCAAAAGTTGGAAGTTCTTCGCAATCTGATTTGACAAACTAAATGCATGTTAGTAATTTTAGTACATTTTAAGTTTTTAGTCGGGGTTTAATATGAAGTTCATGATTCTTGTTATTGTTTTTTTTTATGTATTTCATTTTGTTTTTACTAGTAGGTAACTTACCTACTACCAACACCCTTAGACAAATAAAAGCATTAGTGTGGTCATTTTTTGCTATTTTATTGGTAATAATCCCTTTTTATTCGTGACTGGGATCATCTTTGTATAAGATAAAAAAGGGAATAGTTTTATTGAAATTTTATTTGCTTGTGTAAATGCATAATATGTAAAGAAATGTCCAGCTTTTTATGAAAAATCGGGCTTTTTTTGTACAATTCGTCGCTGTTATTACGTAAGGGCCTATATTGATATTTGGCGAAAACGAGTTATAGATTTGGTCAAACCTTATTTATGTTATGACAGACTGACCTATCTCAATTTTACATGGGTTTAGATTTTATGGAATTATTATAATCAGGCCTATCTTTAGATTCCCCATAAAATATCATTACCTAAAGGTCAAAGTTGACATTGGCCCCTATGCCATAAGTTTCATCTTTGTTTTAATGGGCGAATCTCAACATAAGCCTCTACGTTATAATATTTTTGAAGAAGATAGAAAATAACCATAACATAGGCCCACTAAATTATACATATTATATTTTTACATTTATGGTAGTTTAATTTATTTTGCGGGAATTTTGATGACGTAACCAATTGAAAATATGGAGTAAATCTTGCAACTTTGGAATTTTACAACAATCAAGTCACACGTGCGTGCGACACGTTCTGTCAGAACGATCTGTCAGTTGATTGGAGATTTTCTAATGATGTGTTGTGGTTTTGGATTTATGTGACTAAAGGGTGTTTTGGGTTTCAATTTGGAATTATTTAATAGCAGAAAAACTCAAGTCTAGAAGTCGGTAGGTAGAAATAATATTGATAGTTATTAAATAACGGTATAAAATGTTAATATTTCAGTTTCCCTGTTTTAAAATGGATGTTCTTGTGGAGTGGAGCGACAAAACGATTAACTGTGTGGATACTGGCAGCTTAAAAACTGTTCGGAAAAAGGGGAAATTCAAAATCGGTGTACGAGTGAAAATGTTTTTTGAGAACAAATGGTACTACGGAAAAACTATACAGATTGAAGAGCCGTAGAGCAACTAACGAACATTTTTCGGAGTCATCGGATAATGAGCCTCTATCCAAGAATTTTCACGTGAAAAGTGTGACACGATCGATTCAAGCTTTTCTTCTAGCGATGATTTGCCTCTAAGTAAATTAAACACCAGTTAAAAAAAATAAAAACTCTTACCAGCTCTGTTTGTGATCACGAGTAAAAAAATTAATTACGCAATGCGTTACTCGCTGGCGAGGGGACTATGCAAGCAAGTTTTGAAGTAACTAATGATTCAGACAGTGCTATAGATGAACCCTTTAATGATGTAAGTGACCACGAGGATTCAAATATAAAGCAGAAGTTCGTGCTTCCGATGTTCCATACTTATGTATTGCGAACATTTTCAAGCAGATGAACCGAATTGTGATGCTCATCTTTTGAAACCAGTTGAAACAAAAGAAAAGTGAAAATAAAATTCCAGAAATTTTTTTCGTTGAAGGGGCACCAAAAGAACATCGTGAAGAAAAGATACCTAGGGCGAACAATGCAGAAAGGTTGGGCGAAAATGTGCAGACTTTAGTGAAGAAAATAGACAAAAAATATTTTCAGACTTTAATGGACTGGGCGATTAAAGTTACAGCGAGAATTCATTGTGCGTTTTCTAGAACAAAAAGTAGTATAAAATCGTTGGGAATTGCGCCGTGTTTACACTAAGTTCTTTCATCTTTCTTTAGATGGCAGAAGATTCAAGTTTGTCGCAAATTGTTTGTAAATACGCTGGGTATAAGTGATAAAGTAATGCGTACCTCACTTCAAAAAGTTTAAGATTCTGGTGTGTTGGAGGAAGAAAAACGCGATGGTCGTAGTAAAGCAGTGGCTGAAAATGATCAATTTTGGAGGGACAATATTCTTCAACTCATAAATAGATTCCCTAGGGAGAAGTCACATTATTGTCGGCCAAACAGCTTTAGAGAGTACCTTAATGGAGATTTATCAATTAGTAGAATGTATCAAATGTTTCTTAACGAGTTAGAGCCGAATGCAAAAAAAACATGTCTCTCGCTATATCGGTTGCTGTTTAGAAGTCTGAATCTAACCACAGACTATTCCACAGACCTAAGAAGAATCAATGTGGGCTATGCCGAATTCAATTGACAATTAGAGATGCTTATGAAAAGCACATTTTAGAGAAAACCGCAGTACGAGAAATAAAGGCAAAGAGTAAGACTGAGAAATATATCACTTTTTAGGAAACATCATGAATAGGGCAGTCAGAATTCATCCGTGAATGATGGTGGACGGAGGTATGGCTGCTCAACCAGCAGACGGAGGAAGTGCTGCACTTAACCAGAATGACACAAGAAGGTAATTTATACCAAGATACTCAAATGATTTTTGACAGCATTTTTGTATGAATTATTTAACGAAAATTTATGTATTTCAGGAGAAGGTCCTCAAATTCCATTATTGAAGGAACTCCGCAGCTCCCATCAAAAACGTGTAAAGGTTTGTAAAAGAAATATACTATTTTATTATTAATAATATTTACATTTTTAAAGTATTATAGAAGAACAATTTTGGAATTTCAATAAAAGCTACCTAAAATGACCTAATATGTAGTTAAAATAACTATTGTATGTACTTTAAATCAAATCAAAATTTGACCCAAACAGTTATACAGGGTGAAACAAAATTAATATTGAACATTGGTTACCTTTAAAAGCAAGTTACTACTTTAGTTTAAATGGGTCGATTCCCACATAACAGTGACGTGACAGTGCCGTGACCGGCACGTGATTTATCCGGCGAGATCGAAATTATTCTTTTAGGAATTTGATTGGGAATATTCACACTGTTCCGACGTAGGACCGCGACAGTGCAAACAGTGTTGACACCGACACCGTACCGTGATCGTCAAATTAGTTCCGAACGATATTTTTGGAGTTTCACGGCAGTAAAAATTGTTTCTCGAACATGAATGATGAAAAACTTATTGAGTTGATCCATGGTTATTCTGCATTATATGACATGTCCAACTCAAAATATATGGACTCTGATTTTAAGAATAGTATTTGGAGTAAAGTAGGAGCAGAAATGAAAATGGATGGTGAGTAAAAAATACTTTACTGTTGACCTGGCCACAGAATGAATATATGCAATTTAATAGATATTGAATATTTTTTTGTCTGATTTCTTTAAATCTCACAGGTGTATTCTTTAAAAAAACAATTTGTATTTTAGTATACTTTTATTATCAGTAATAATAGGTATAATAATGTTAACAACTAAAATTACGTTAAGTTTACTATTTGTATTGTAACGTTTTTAGTTCGTTACATATCTTTTTTATATATAATATATGATGTCTGGGCCTATCATCACCGGATTCCCTCTCGTTCAGGCCGGATAGTTTATTTGACGCGCTACGCGCTTGGCGTAATTTTTACGTTCTCTAGTCAGCAACCCTGCTATCGTTTCACTGTTCTGTGGAGCGCTGTTAACATCGCTTCAAGGCGCCTCTCCGTGCTTAACTTCACTTGGCTTTGACCGTCCTACTGTCACCATCAAAAAACCCTTGCTTCGAGAAAATGCAATTATAAAAATCTTGCTGTATAATTTGAATCAGCTGCTATTTCGAAGTTACAGGTAAAAATGAGATTATCTTTTTTGATTCGTTATTATTACTGCGTAATTTTAGGGTAGAGTTACGGATGCCCCAACCTAACTTGTATTTGTATTTTGCTGGCACGTTGGCGTCCCTTTTCTTTTGTCCTCTAGAATGTCACATGGAAGAAAGGACAGGTTCTTTATTATTTAGTGAGCCCTCGGAAGTAATTCGAGGTAGGTTCAATTTCTTTATTAGACCTTGTTTGATTTTAAACAAGAGTTTCGTATTTTTAGGGTCTTATGGACGGACTGTGTCCAAGGTTATGGTCCAAGTTACGGACATTATCCAAGGTCCTAGTAGTGTTCCAAGGTACGGGTAGTGTCCCCATATTGTCACAGCATGGATACAGCGTAAGCCCCATGCTGCTTCGCTCCCATTTCTAAGCCTAGTCAGTAGCTACGGCTGTATTGATTCATGGTGTCCTCATTCTGGCCCCTTTTGTTGTTTTGACCAACAGGATCGCCGACAGACAGTACAGAGATATGAACCCACCTCTTCGAAACAGGATTGTCTCAAGAACAGCTAAGTGAAATCTACACTTAGCTGTTCTTGAGACAATCCTGTTTCGAAGAGGTGGGTTCATATCTCTGTACTGTCTGTCGGCGATCCTGTTGGTCAAAACAACAAAAGGGGCCAGAATGAGGACACCATGAATCAATACAGCCGTAGCTACTGACTAGGCTTAGAAATGGGAGCGAAGCAGCATGGGGCTTACGCTGTATCCATGCTGTGACAATATGGGGACACTACCCGTACCTTGGAACACTACTAGGACCTTGGATAATGTCCGTAACTTGGACCATAACCTTGGACACAGTCCGTCCATAAGACCCTAAAAATACGAAACTCTTGTTTAAAATCAAACAAGGTCTAATAAAGAAATTGAACCTACCTCGAATTACTTCCGAGGGCTCACTAAATAATAAAGAACCTGTCCTTTCTTCCATGTGACAGGTTCTGGTTTTCAGTCGATTTTCAGTCTTAACTTAACGTACATTTTAAATAATATCGTACAGACTATATTTAGTGGTTAGATTATAAAGAACATTATGTCGATTTAGTAGTTACAATATGATTTAGATTTTAAGTTTCATTACATTACGCCTTGTAATCGTATTACTTTCTATAGATATTATTATTGCGCTATATTAACAGATGAATAACGAGACATAGATTCTAGAATCTACAGGTTGCAACATATCAGATTTAACACCGCATAAAATTTAACAGTTTAAATAAAGTAATGCTACCTTTCTTATATTTTCTATAACGTTACACGCATTGTATTTTTTCATAGTCTTTTCATAGAACATATTTAATAGTATTTACATACATAGCTTTTACTCGACATATAACCACTATAATAATTATTAAAATTGTACAATGCTATTTACCATCAGGATACATCATGAATGAATATAGTCACTAGTTTTAAGTAATAAACAACTGTGTTTTCTTTCTCTGTTCATGCCTGGCGCCCAATATTTATAATTTCGAGTTATTATTGTTAATCAGCTTCTTTCTAGTGAAATACCTTATCCAAGACTGCTCTACCAACGAAAAGCTGCCGTTCGCAGTGGTAATGTTTATAAAAAAATGCTACAGTATTATATTTTAAGTTTGTCGGTTATTTGGTAGCCATGGGAGAGATCCGGCATCAGAATTAAAAAAATCAGTGAATGTTTCTCGTACGCGAAATGCATCTGTCGTGGCATTTCCTCCTTGCATTGAAAATGTAAATTTTGTAATGTGCGACTCTGACCCCTCAAATCTACTTTGGAAGTAAGATAATTATACGTATGACTGTCATATTTTTTAATGAAATTGTGCAGCAAGCAAGTGCTCAAAATTATGTTATCCATGTATTTTGGAAAGGCCTGAATTCTTCTATTGTAAAGTCTAAATTTTTGAATCAAAATACCAAAAGTGTTTTCTGATGTCCTCTTGGCATGACACAAACGATAGTTAAAGTTACGTTTCCGATCATCTAGATTATCTCCTGGATATGGTCGCATTAAGTACGTTTTAAGAGGAAATGCTTCGTCGCCTACGATAACGTATGGAAGTTGGATATCTGTATTAGGTATGGCAGTTTTTTCCGGTATATTCAAAGTTCCTTGCTGAAGTGCTTTTCCTAGCTTTGATTTGGCAAACACTCCTCCATCGCTATCCTTCCCATATGCCCCTACATCGACAGTAATAAAATTACAATGAGCATCTACAAGAGCTAATAAAACTATAGAAAATGTTTTCTTATAATTAAAAAACATTGATCCTGAGTTAGGAGGAGCCTGAATAACAATATGCTTGCCATCCATAGCTTCTATACAGTTAGGAAAATTCCACATTTCATAAAAATCAGTAGCGATTTTCAGCCACATTTCCTCTGTTGGAGTAGGCATCAGTTCTTTCGTGAGATGTGTAGTAATAATCTCGCAAGTCTCTCATACAATTCTATGAACTGTACTATGTCCTAGACGATAGCTAAACGAAATTGTGTTCAGGGCGTCTCCAGTGGCCAAATATCTAAAAAAAAATCAGTAGAGAAAAAATATATACAACAAAAGATATTTTTAGCTTAATCCTTAATTTTTGTTTTAGGGTCTGTCTGTAAAACTCGGTGGGCCAATATTAGAGACAACTTCAGAAAATCTTTGAATAAACAAAAGACTAAGAGTGGACAACAAGCAACAAAAGTGAAGCCATACAAATATTCAGAGCAATTGAACTTTTTGAAGAAATTCTTTGAGGAAAGGGAGACCAAAACAAACATTGAGATCAACGTAAATATCGACGATTTCACAGGTGATACAGAAAGTGAAGAGGTATCCGAAAATAGACCAAATAGTCAAACACAAGACGTTACAATATCAGAAGTTAATGATGACGTGACTACACAATCAGAAGGGCGAAGTTTATTGAAATCAACACCAAAAGATGCCATTCCACGAAAAATTCGAAAGCTGTCAGTGTTAAACTCCACTGCTCCCTCTAAAACGGCCGCCGCTACAGCTATGGAGTATATTATTGAACGAAATAAAATTATGAACTGTCCACCACCTACACAGCATCCTGTTGATGCTTTTTTAGCAGGAATAGCTTCTTCTTTAAAAAAATTATCCCCACAAGAGTGGCATTACGCAAAAGGTGAATTATTCGCTACTGTTCAAAGATATGAACTTAATTTGCTAAACCGACAGCAACAGTATACTGGCTCAGCAGGTTCTTCTGAAATGTGTTCGATTGGAGAACCTTCTCCTGCAGGAAGCTACCAGTCTCCATGGAGTGGCCAAAATTCAATGACATCTAGCGGTCACATTGAGGAGAATGCAGCACCCAACTTAACATTGACGGAGTACTTCCAATCCCTTCCTTAGAAATACTCAGGAAAAAATGTGTTTAAAATTTTTGTTTTTTTGTTTGTACATTTTTCTAAGAATAAAATTTTACTTTTTTAAGTACTTTTATTAAATACTGTTAGTTGTCTACACCAGACTGAAAACAAACACTTTACCTACCTCAAACAAACAGCGAGTCTTTCCCTTGCTGTTATTGCTTTCCTCCAGCGTGTGTCATGCTTTTTCAAATGAACGTCTAACTTGCAAAGCAATAAGTTGAATGAATTTTCTGACATTCTAAAGTATTGAAAAAAAAAATTCTGCATCGTCTACCAGTTCCCTGTACAATGTAATAAATTCCCCTTCGGTCCCTCTCTTTCTCCACGCTTGATGAACCCAGTAACGTCTTTCTACTTGTTCTTCTATGTTTTGTTCCACGTTTTCTTCCATTTCTGCATCTAAAATCAGTGCGATCTCCAAAAGTTCTGCATCGGAAAATATTTCCATTTTTAAAAGTTACTACACTGCTATACTGCACAATACTGATGAAACACTGACTAATGTGAATATAAATCACTGTGTGTTTACGGCCGGTAAAATCACGTGTCGGTCACGGCACTGTCACGTCACTGTTATGTGGGAATCGACCTTAAAGATCTATTTACACACATCAGTGCCGTGTCAGTTCAGTATCAGTATCAGTGAAAAATAAATTATGATTGCCTTAGCCTTCAATGAACCTTTTCACACAAGTCCGGCGCAGTACCGTTTTTTTACCATCAGTGCTGCTTCAGTGTCCGTTAGGTACGTGATATTTTTAAAAGTCGGCAACGATATTTTTGTTTATTTCACTGACGAACTGACGACGTCGACGATTGGAATTTGCGATGGTTGAAAAACTGATCGAGTTTGTACGGAATTATCCAGAATTGTATGACTTGTCACACATGGATACCGGTTTAAAAAATAAGATTTGGAATAATATAGGGTGTCCCAGAAATAAGTGCAAATATTTTAACTGGTAGTATAGTTCAACCCCAGAAACACGCCTATGAGTTTTTTTCGCGAAAAAAAAAATTTGAAAATTCGAAATTTTTTGGATTTTTTTTTAGTTTTTAATCAAAAAACATAATTTTTTGATAATATGGCAACATAGGTATTAGATTAAATTTACAAGAAAGAAAATCCAGAAAAGATCTAGTGGTTTTCAAAATTTTTGCAAAAAATCAGTTTTTTTGGAAATTTTCAAAGTAAAATAACTCCGTTATTTTGGACTTATTTGAAAAATAATAAAGAGAAAATATATTTCTTTTATCGAGATCTACCACCTCTTAAAATATTTGCACTTATTTCTGGGACATCCTGTATAGGAAAAGAATTAAAACTCCAAGGTAAGTTTTGGGCTTTGAATTTATATTATTATACTTATATTATATTAGCTACTTATATTATGGAAACACTGTAGATAGGTAGCCTATGTCTTAAAACTTAAAAAATATCTTTAAATCCTTTCGTTTTGCCATGGTACACGTCCAATTTCTGAGGTAAAATATTCTGTAAACAATTCTCTTACTCTAAATGCGTCATTAGTTGCATTTCCTCTCTGCATAGGCAAATCTTGAAGAGGTTGTTCTTGCGGAGCATTATTTAAGTTTAAGTTGTTTTTATAAAACAACTTAAAAACAACAAATCGGCTGGTTGTGACGCGATTCCAGCGGAAATCTATAAGTGTACCAGCAAAGAACTTATTGGTCATCTTAAGGCTCTCTTCGATGTCATATGGGAAAGCGGAGAGGTACCTCAGGACTTTCGCAACGCGAATATAGTAAATATATTTAAGAACAAAGGAAGTGCATCAGATTGCGGAAACTACCGAGGAATTTCACTACTGGTTATCGGAGGTAAAATTCTCGCAAAAATGATGTCAAACCGCCTTCACCCACATATAGAAAAAATACTGTTGGTTCCATATTCGCCGTCCGCCAACTACAGGAAAAAGTAAAGGAACAGCAGAGTAAACTTTATGTTGCATTCATCGACCTAACGACTTCGACTCTATAAACAGAGATGCACTTTGGGTAATTATGCAAAGGTTCGGAGTGCCCAGCATATTTCTTAGTGTGTGTAAAAGCCTCCATAACAACAACAAGTCGAGAGTGTCATCATAGTTTAAGGAAAAGAGTAGTTGCACTCTCGCAAATATTTTCTGCCAGTTTTTGCAAGCTGTCGAATATCGGCAGCTTGCAAAGCGTTTCAGTTGAATTCCGTCCGTTGAAATGCGAGGTTCGAGCGTTGCGTCCCAGCACAGAGACGGATTGACAAAAAATGAGTGCCTTACTGTGTGCTGCTATTAATTGTAGTAACAATTCAAAAAATCGTTCTTTGAGTTTTTTTAGATTTCCATCGGATGTAAATCGGCAAGCTGATAGGAATTATCAATAAACATTTAATTATATTTGTTTATTTTCGAAGCTGAGATATTATGTAATTAATTAAATGTTATTATTTTTTTTAGCATGTGGGCAAATCTTAGAAATAGTTTTTTAGATATACAGGTTGTCTCAAATATGCGCATGAAAATATTCTTTGGTCAGGGGATTTGCCATAAAATTTTCATTCCAATAATAATTTACGAGATAATTTATATACATTGGTTTTTGAAACAATTTTAGAGTAAATATTTTGTACATCTAAAGTCTCCGCAAATTATTCATATTTTTTAAATGAAAGAATTTTATAATAGCATAATCTATTATAAATTTAGTGGACTGTATTTTTTATGTTTTTTTATTTTATTTATTTTTTATTATAAGTGGTCGTAATATAACAATATTCAAAATATTATAGACAAAATATTGAGTTTATATTTGAGGGAAGAAAAGTGCCACACCTAGCTTTAAACCACCGTAAATATACAGGATGGCCCATTATTGCGAGGAAGTCCAATATCGTCGTTCTTGTCGAAGATGTGAAAAAAGTTTTATTCATATGTTTCAAGGTTTATAAAGGGTCGTATCCTAAAATATTTTGTTATATACAGGGTGTCACAAAAAAGTTATGGTAAAGTTAATTTTATTTTTTTTTAAATTATTTTACATCTTTCTATATACATTATTCTATATAGGGTATTTTTATGGCGATGGCGTCACCAAAATCGGAATATTTAAAATGGTATATCTCAATTTTTTTAAATGCAACATTCTGTATATTATTTTTCGGTCAGATACAGAATTAAAAAGTGAACATTTTTTTATTTAAAGTGTTTCTCTAAATTTTTAACGGTTTCGCAGATATTCGCGTTATTACATATAGCTCTCTTTCAACAGTAAATTTTTATCAAAGCCACCTAATGAAAATCCCATATGTAATGAAATACAGGAAATATTTGCAAAACGCCTAAAAATTTAAGAACACTTTAAATACAAAAAATGTTCACTTTTTACTTCTACACCTGAAAGAAAAATAATATACTAGGTGTTGCATTTAAAAAAAATGAGATACAACATTTTAAATATTACGATTTTGGTGACGCCATAAAAAATACCCTGTATACGATAAAGTAAATTTTTCTACACGAATTTATTCTGGTGTCCTTGTCATGTTTAAGAAAACATATGTAGCTAAGTATAAATAATGTTATATTTTTGCCACTTTTCATATATAATGTTTTTTTAACCAAAGTTTTAGTAAATAAGAAATAGAATGGCAACACCGCAGTGTGCTTTAAACAGAATCCAGTTAACTACAGAAAATTAAACTTGTTTTAAATCAAAAAAAAAATTGTAGAAAATCTCTGAAATAGATAATAATATAAAAATATGTCATTATATATATTTTCCGCATTTCTTCCCATCAGAAGATTTTCAGATACAGAAGAATTGTTACCTACACGAAATGTGAAAACATTCTGTTTTCAAGCAAGTTTTTACTCGATGATCAATTTATTTTATTTTATTTTATTGGGAACTCATATTTTTCTAAATACATATCTGTGAAACTACGGCGAGTGCCACGACTATACTTTGCCTAGTTAATAGACTACAACTATACAGCTACGTCAGTGGTCACGGGAGGCGAGAACAAGGTCATATAAAGTGGCAGAAAAAGAACAAAGGATTTGACAAGGAGTAAATCTACTAGTTTCCTTATACTATGGTGTCACAATGGATCACTGAGCGATCCCTTCCTGACAAATACAGGGGTTAGGCAGGGATGTGTCCTAGCTCCTCTCTTATTCGACATATTCATGGCAGCTCTCTCTATTATAGTGGACAGCAAACTGCAGGAAAGAGGAATGGGTGTTAGATACAGGTATGACGGCGGTCTGTTCAACATAAAAAGACTCAGGGCAACAACACGTATAAAATTCATCACAGAACTCCAATACGCTGATGACTAAGCTTTAGTTGCAAATACGTTACAGTAATTACAGGAAATGCTGAACACATATATCTGGGCATACGAGACTTTGGGCCTTAAACTGAACATCAATAAAACAAAAATCATGTGCACTCCCCCGGAAAATCATAACAGCGCTATAAAAATCGGAGAAGAACTATTAGAATATGTATCGGAATTTAATTACTTCGGCAGTTTGATTTCGGAAAAGGCAAATATCGACTCTGAAATTCAGCATAGAATCAGCAGTGCCTCAAGAGCATTCTGGAAATTAAGACAGGGTTTTCTACAATCATGACTTGAGCACAAAAACGAAACTTGCAGTGTATCGAGCAGTAATAATCCCCACCATGTTATATGGCAGCGAAACCTGGGTGCCGTACCGCACACGAGCGCATTAATCAAGTTACAACAGAGACACCTTAGACAACTTTTAAGAATCAAATGGTACCACCATGTCTCAAACGTATCAGTCCTTAAAAAAGCAAGCTGCGAGAGCGCTGAAGTCATGATTACTAAATCTCACTTAAGATGGGCTGGCCACGTATGCAGGATGCAAGGAAACCGCCTACCGAAATCTCTTCTTTACGGTGAACTTTTAGAGGGTAAGAGGAAACCGGGTGGACAACTCAAAAGATTCA